CAGGAGGTGGAGATTACACTGACCGAAATTGCTTCACTGCACTCCAGCCTGGGAGACAGAGCGAGATTCCTCAAAATAAATAAATAAATAAATAAATAAATAAATAAATAAAATAAATAAATAAAAAAATAAAAACCAACCTATTGCAAAGTATGGAATTTATTTAGATCACAATTTGGAAAAAAACCACCCCCAAAAATTTATGAGGCAGGGAAATGTAAACAGTGACTGCATATTTGCTTAGATTACAGAATTACTGTTCTTAGGTATAATGGTAATGCGACTACTTAAAAAAAAAAAAAAAAAGTCCTGGCCAGACACAGTGGCTTATGCCTGTAATCCCAGCACTTTGGGAGGCTGAGGCGGATGGATCACCTGAGGTCAGGAGTTCCAGACCAGCCTGGCCAACATGGTGAAAACCCATCTCTACTAAAAATACAAAAATCAGCTGGGCATGGTGGCATGCATCTGTACTCCCAACTATTCAGGAGGCTGAGGCAGGAGAATCACTTGAACCAGGGAAGCGAAGGTTGCCATAAGCCAAGATCGTGCCATTGCACTCCAGCCTGGGCAACAAGAGCAAAACTCTGTCTTTAAGAAAAAAAAAAAAAAAAAAACTTATCTTTTAGAGATATGTTCTGAAATATTTCCTAATGAAATATGATATCTGAGATTTGTTTCAATGTTATCTAAGAGAAATGTATGGAAGTATTGATGAAACAATGTTGACGATGAGCTGAAAAAGTTTAAAACAGGCTGGGCACAGTGGCTCACGCCTGTAACCCCAGCATTTTGGGAGGCCGAGATGGGCAGATCACCTGAGGTCAGGAGTTCAAGATCAGCCTGGCCAACATGGCAAACCCCATCTCTACTAAAAATACAACAAAATAAAAATTAGCCAGGCATGGTGGCATGTGCCTATAGTCCCAGCTCCTCAGGAGGCTGAGGTGGGAGAATCACTTGAACCCAGGGGGTAGAGGTTGCAGTGAGCTGAGATCATGCCACTGCACTCCAGGCTGGACAGCAGAGCGAGAGTCTGTCTCAAAAATAAATAAATAAATCTGAATTTAATCATGCCTTGTAGATCATATTAGCTTACAGAAAGAAAAAAAAAAAAAAGAGGACAAAGAGGAATGTCTTTTTATTTTTTGCAGAGATTGGATTTCACAATGTTGCCCAGGCTGGTTTCAAATTCTTGGGCTTGAGTGATCTGCCTGTCTCAGCCTCTCATAGTGCTGGGACCACAGGCATGAGGCATCTGTGCCTGGCTGAAGAGGTGCATCTTAAACAGCACACAGAGGATACAGTCGGCTAAATATAGAATGGGGGCAGGCCGGGCGCGGTGGCTCAAGCCTGTAATCCCAGCACTTTGGGAGGCCGAGGCGGGTGGATCACGAGGTCAAGAGATCGAGACCATCCTGGTCAACATGGTGAAACCCCGTCTCTACTAAAAATACAAAAAATTAGCTGGGCATGGTGGCTCGTGCCTGTAATCCCAGCTACTCAGGAGGCTGAGGCAGGAGAATTGCCTGAACCCAGGAGGCGGAGGTTGCGGTGAGCCGAGATCGCGCCATTGCACTCCAGCCTGGGTAACAAGAGCGAAACTCCGTCTCAAAAAAAAAAAAAAAAAAAAAAAAAAAATATATAGAATGGGGGCAATTCTGTCGGAAAAATTATTGTTCATAAGTAAGTGGCACTGAAAGAACAGGGGAACTGTTAGAGATGAAGAGAACCCTGAGAGACACAGCAACTAAATACAACCTGTTTATCTCAATTGATTCCTGATGCAAACCAACCAGAATTTTTGAGGCAACTGGAGAAAACCGTATATGAACTGAAATATTGGAAAGGGATTATTACTTTGTGGGCTATCACGGTATTGTGATCAAGTTGTTAAAAATGTAGTCCTGTGTCTTAGAGGCACATACAGAAGTATGAACAGGTGAAACTAAATTGCCTGGCACGTGCTTTAAACATACGCTGGGGGCTGGAGGGAAGGTGGGACGGGGGAATATATAAAACAAAAGCGGCAGAACGTTAATAACTGTTGCAGCTTGGTTCTTTATATCTGGCTCCTTACTTGTGTGTGTTTGGAATTTTCCATAATAAAAAAGTTAAATGTAAAACATTTTTTAAAAATAAGGAAAACAAGCTCTTGCATAGGTGTTAGCTGAACTGAACTCTTGGGAATTTAAGGAACTGGAAAGCCAGTCCAATTTAAGGAATTGGAGGCATCAGGGAGATGGCAAGGCAGGGAAGACTCTTAAGTTTGACCTGGGCCTGGCATGAGGGTGGAGGAGAAGGTAAGGGGCATGAACCTCAAAAAGGTCATGAGGTCAAAAGCCTCATCATGCACATGCCAAGCGCCTTCCCTCTTCCCATGCTGTGGGTGATGGGTGTTCGTTCCATCTCCTGGCCACACTATGGGGTCTTTTAAAATAAATTATTATTTATTTTTATTTATTTATTTTTTTGAGACAGAGTTTCACTCTTGTTGCTCAGGCTGGAGTGCAATGGCACGATCTCAGCTTAGCACAACCTCTGCCTTCCGGATTCAAGCGATTCTCCTGCCTCAGCCTCCCAAGAAGCTGGGATTATAAGCATGCACCAACATGCCTGGCTACTTTGTATTTTTAGTAGAGACAGGATTTCTCCATGTTGATCAGGCTAGTCTTGAACTTCCGACCTCAGGTGATTCACCCACCTTGGCCTCCCAAAGTGCTGGGATTACAGGTGTGAGCCACCACACCTGTCCTATTTTTAAATTTTTTAAATTTTTATTTTTTGATATGGAGTCTGGCTCTGTCACCAGGCTGGAGTGCAGTGGTGCGATCTCGGCTCACTGCAACCTCCACCTCCCAGGTTCAAGTGATTCTCCTGCCTCAGCCTCCCAAGTAGCTGGGATTACAGGCACGTGCCACCACACCGGGCTAAATTTTTTTTTTTTTTTTTTGAGACGGAGTTTCGCTCTTGTTACCCAGGCTGGAGTGCAATGGTGTGATCTCGGCTCACCGAAACCTCCGCCTCCTGGGTTCAGGCAATTCTCCTGCCTCGGCCTCCTGAGTAGCTGGATTACAGGCACGTGCCACCATGCCTAGCTAACTTTTTGTATTTTTTAGTAGAGATGGGGTTTCACCATGTTGACCAGGATGGTCTCAATCTCTTGACCTCGTGATCCACCCGCCTCGGCCTCCCAAAGTGTTGGGATTACAGGCTTGAGCCACCGTGCCCGGCACCCGGCTAAATTTTTATATTTTTAGTAGAGTATATATATTCTACTAAAATATATAATACATATTTATTTATACATATTTATATTCTAAAATACATTTTTAGCAGAATATATTTTTAGGGTTTCACCATGTTGGCTAGGCTGGTCTTGAACTCTTGACCTCACGTGATCCACGTGCCTCAGCCTCCCAAAGTGTTGGGATCACAGCTGTGCCACCATGGCCAGCCCTACTATCGGGTCTTTTAGAAGGAAATTATCACCATTGTCCCACATTCCAGATTCTTCCTGATTCCCTCTCCCCAACTCCTATATCCCCCAATCCAAGGTGCAGCACAGCCCCACCCAATTGGCAATTGACAAAAGGAGTGCTGGTCTATGCCTCCACCTGCTGGTGGCCACTGGGAAGTGAAGCTGCCAAAAGCCAAAGGATCCCCTGAACTGAGAGTTAATATTGTACAAAGATCTGGTCTTTCCCCCTCATAAAAGAAACACATGCCAATAAACATGTAAGAAAGCCTTTAATTTTATCACCATAAACATTATACTCTGATTGCTCACATACAGTATAAAATATTTACTCCGCTAAATAAATAAGACGACATTATTGCAAACGGCACTTAAATCCCCTGAGAGATAAGACCTCCTTAGCTCAGGCAGGGGGTGGTCCTGAGTTTCTCTGTGAGATTCCCCAGATATACTCTGGGGGCTGAGATGGACAAAGGCTTGGGAAACCACACTTTGTGCTTCTGGTCCTGCAATAGCTCCAAACAGGTTTGTGGAGCCAGTGGGGAAAGCTGGGGGTGGGGGAAGTTTCAGGTAGTGCCTTCATCAGCCTAGTCCCAGGCCAGGTGTGGTGGCTCACACCTATAATCTCAGCACTTTGGGCGGCTGAGGTTGGTGGATAATGAGGTCAGGAGTTCGAGACCAGCCTGGGCAACATAGTGAAATCCCGTCTCTACTAAAAATATAAAAATTAGCCAGGCATGGTGGCACACACCTGTAGTCTCAGCTACTCGGGAGGCTGAGGCAGGAGAATCACTTGAACCTGGGAGGTGGAGGTTGTAGTGAGCTGAGATCACACCACTGCACTCCAGCCTGGACAACAGAGCAAGACTCTGTCTTTTAAAAAAAAAAAAAAAAAAAAATCAGCCCAGTCCTAGAAAGAGTAGAGGGGAGAGGAAGTCAGGGGAACCAGGCTGGGCCAAGAGAAGAGGGATGGTTAGGGAAGCTGCTGAGACCTGAAGCCCCACACTCCACCTTCCTTCAAAACCCTAACCTTGGGTAACAGCATTTGGAATATCAGTTGGAACAGTAGAATTTCCAAGGTCCTGGCTTAGGCATTTTGGGGGGCCAGACCCCAGAAGATTCTGGCAACAATCAGCCCAATGCCCAGCTATCTCAGGGGACCTGATTGCTGGGGATCCCACCCTACCCAAATCTTAGACACCAACACAGAAAAGCTAGCAATGGATTCCCTTCTACTTCGTTAAATAAATAAGTTAAACATTTAAATGCCCATGGCCCTATGATGGCAACAGAGGGACCAACAGGCCAAGGTGAGAGTTGTTGTTGCGGTGGGGGGGAATCAGCAAAAAGGCAGTGCTGTGGACTGAGGAGACACAGTTCTTGTGTACTGACCCTCAGTACTCTTCCCCTGCAAATGACTTTCATACTTTCAAATCCCACGGAGGAGTGTTTCATCCTAGAAACTCCCACGCAAGAGCTACGTTAAATGAACCTGCAAGTTAAGGGGGCTTGGAGGTGGGAGACCAGGTGGCTGAGTTTATTCAGCTCCCGAAACCCTTCTCTAGGTATGTCTCAACCAGGAGGCTAGCTGTTAACCCTGAGCCTGGGTAATCCATCCGCAGAGTCCCCGCATTCCAGTGTATGGAGTGAATCAAATGCCCTGCCCTTCTGGCCTCCCTGTAGAGGTCCAGACTGAAACCCACTTGGAAGGTCTCCAGTCTGGCAGCCCTAGAGACTGGGAAGAGGAGAACAGGGAAGCCTCAGCCCCCAGCTGTGCAGCTACACACCTCAGCGCCACAGGGTGGCAGCAGAGAGCCACACGACTTTGGCAGCAACAGAAACTGGTGGCCAGCTCAGCAGCCCCCCGATGGGGCTAACAGGAGTAGGGAGCTGGGACCCAGTGAGGCAGGCCCTCCACCCCAATGTGCTGGAAGTATTCTACACTGAGTATTTGGCCAAGTCGTTCTTGTCAAATACTACCTGTGTAGCAAAGTAAATGGCGACCAGACCCAGGCCTGCGGCAGACACCATGTAGGCAGTGACAGACTGGCTGAGTTGGACAATGGAACCCATGAACAGGGACGGGGCCACCTGGGACAGCAGGAAGGCACTATCCAGGATGGCAAGGTCCAGGCAGATGCCCCGGCCTGGAACCACCCTGGCCTCAGCGGGCTCACCCACCACCACGCGCACAGAGACGTCACAGGCAGAGGCCCCGCAGAGCGAAGGTGAAGGTGGGAGCAGACTACTGCCTCCAGCACCCACGTGTCCATTGGGGAAGGGAGCTCCAGGCTTCGGGCCTGGCAGGAAGCTGGTCATCAGGCTGTCCTCACTGCCGGCGCCTCCGGCGTCCCCTCGGTATTTGGGCAGGAACACCTGAGGCGGAAGGGTGAAGAAAAGAGGAAGGGGACAGGTGTGTACCCAGCACTAGGATCCCCCAGATGTGAGAACAAACCCTCGCCTCCATCCCAGGGGCTGGAAAAACACAGGTAATGAGACTTCATGAAAATCAGGAGCAGGAGAGAAGACGGAGACCCTACTTGGTCTGGGTCTGGACAGGACCCTTCCTCAGGAATGGGAGAAGGGTAACGGGGCAGGGCAGGGACGAGTCTGAACCCCGAAGTCTAGGTCTCCTCTAGCGTCTTAGAACAGGTAAGAGGCAGACAAACCCAATACCGCAGGTCAGAAAGAGAACGGAGCGCCAAGGTAAGGAAAAGACACAGGGAGAATGAAGACGGTGGGAAGAGAGAAACAGAAGAGAAGAGCCAAGGCAGGGCCCCGACGGCCCGCACCCCACGCGGCTGTCCTAACCTTCTTCCTTCCTGTCTGCCCTCTGCTTCGTCATCGGAATCCTCATTACCCTGTGCATAGAAGCTCTGCCTCTCTGGGGTCCCAGATGCCACTGAAGTCGCTGCCCTGTCATGAGGTCCCTGTCCCCAACCTCGGGGCAGGGAGAATCCGGTAGACCCCAAGCAGGAGAAATGCCCCTCTTCCCACCTCCCCCGGCCCCAGCTGTGCTAATGCTGAAGGCTTCTCATTTCCTTCCCGCTGTCTGCCTTAGATCAGGGTGACTGGTCGAGCACCATCCCCTTAGCCCCTGCCCTCGGTGGCCCAGAGCCTCCTACTTAAGGACAAGGCCAGGACTTAGCCAACGCTATCTCCAGGCCAGAAGAGTTGGGTTGGCTGCATTTGCGAGCTAGGAGCCATGGCAGCACTCAAACCTGGTACCAGGGAAGCCTGCGGCTCACCATGCAGCGCAACAAGTGGGCAAAGGAACAGGAGACAGCATGCAGTGCCGGGCCCGCCATCAACTGCTGTTAGGAAGGGGCCTCCAGGACTTCTCCCTGTCGGCCACCCCAGGAATGTCCATGAGGCTGGAGTCTGGAGTGATTCCGAGGACAGACAACGCTCCTCCATCTGGAGATGACGGCTAGCTCCAGAACGTTCCCTGGCACAGCCAGCACGCACTCAGGCCTGGCTGCTGATGCCAGCCCCCTGTCCCCAGCCCAGGCAATCAGAAGAGAGGCTGAAGGTTATCAGTGGGCTAACAGGAGTCTCAGGAACCAGGCGCCCCCAACCAAAACCTGAGCCCCTCCCCTCCAGACCTCCCTCCCTGCAGCGACCTACTCAGTTAACCAGCCTCCCAGCTTCGAACTTCCCTACTGCTCCTCAACTGCTACGAGGCGCAGGGGCATGTCTTCCCCACAGTCCGGGAGCTGTGAGAGCAGGCCTGTATCTCTTCCTTCCTTGGGACACCCCAACTTCATGCCCCTCAAGGCAGAGTCCAGCCCCCAGGGTTGTAGCTCAGTGAGGTCAGTGGAGGGGACTAGGGTGACCACGCTGCCTGGGTTAGGTGGCTTCCCAAGGCAGGGGACGCCTGGGGTTTAGTGTGGGGCTGACCACGGAGGAGGTCCCCCCAGCTTACACAGCATCCGAGTGAGTGGGTTAGGTGTACATCTGGGGAAGTGCAAGAGGATGGAGGCAAAGGAGGGAGGCAGGAAAAGAAAAGGGCGTTAGACAGAAAAGAAGAGTCAGCTGGAAAGAAAAGGGGCAGGAAGGAGCCTGCCCCATCTCAGAGACCAGAGCAGGACACAGGCTAAGCCAGGTTGCCGCTCCCTGAAAAAAGAGGTGTTGCTAAGGCCGGACCAGTCCCACTCCCATCTGCTGAGGCTGCATGGGCCAGGGGTCACCTGATCCAGCCCCTGCGTCTTCATGGAACAGCCAGCCTAGAAGCCTAGGGCTCCTGGTGGCCTGTCTCTTTGGGATTCCCAGTGACGGATTTTGCATTTCCTGCAATCACCTATTCAAGTGCTTCATAGTCCTGACCCCAGGAAGTCATTCCCAGAATCTAATCTACACTCTTCTTCTGCAGCCCAAGCCTCTGGCCCTGGCACTAGGATGAGCTGCCTCTCTGATCCAAAGAAGGCGTCTCCAAAGTTGCTTGCCAATACCAGGCTCTGGGCTAGGCAGCCTCCCCAAAACCCAGACCACTCCTCCACCCCGACTGCCCACCAGCCAATGAGTACCTGCTTCTCCCGGTGGTAGAGGGAGGCCAGTGTGTAGGGCAGAATCTGCAGGGCTGAGAAGGTGAACCCGGTGAGGGCAGCTGAAGCCGTCACCACGGCCACACTGTGGGACAGGCACGTGGCACCGGCAGCCACAGGAAAAGCTGCCACACTGGCCAGATAGACTGCACGGGTGCCAAATCGCTGCACCAGCCGGTCCATGACCAGAGAGAAGACCAGGGAGATGGCACACTGCAGGAAGAGCCCCAGACTGCCCATCCGAACACCTGGAGAGGAAGAGAGGCTATCAGCGCCTGGCGGGGAAGGGCACGTGCAGTCTTGGGGGAGATGAGAATGCGGGGCCACAGGCACCTGCTGTGGACCTGCCTCGCTCCCCAGTGCCCTTCCCCTTTCTACCTGGAGCCATGGGAGGCTAGGTTCTTCCACTGACCCTCAGAGGATGTGGCCAAAGCCACTTGCTAAAGGCAGAGGAAGTGGTCTAAAGGTTGACTGGGAGTCAGCTGTGGGGACATGAGGGCGAGAGGCAACCCAAAGGTAGTTGGGAATAGGCTTCAAGATGCTTCTAGGACGTTTGAACTGGAAGGTGCTGGTGAGATTATGTGGAACATCATCGGGGGAGCAGAGGGCACACTGTGGCTGCAGCCAGGCAGGTCTGAAATCCAGCCTTGACTCCTCCACTCCCTCTAGACTTTGAACAAGCTCCGCCTTTCCTTCGGCCAAATTCGGGCAATGACTCTGATCAAACCCCTAGAGCCGCTGGAGGCCCTCCTGAAACTGCGGGCAGAGCTTTTCCACACCCATGAGGAGCTGTGTATGCAGACGGGGTCCATCCCTGCTTTCCTGACGGAGAGGTCGGGGCCAGGATGGAGAAGAACCAGCCCTGACGCAGCTCCGAGTGTCCGCTCTGGTACCAGGCTCCGCAGCCTTACCTTCATCATAGTGTCTCCGGGCCTCAGTGCCCGGCTCAGCTCGGGGCACGCCCTGGTACAGCCCCTCACCCACGAAATCCGTGTAAAACAGCGTGAAGGTCATGAGTGCCATCCAGCTGCACAGCTCAGCCACGAAGAGCCGGCGCAGCGTGCGGGGCATGCGGCAGCACAGCTGGTGCAGATGGGGAAGCAGGGCGCCCAGGTTCCGGAAAGCCAGGTGGGCCCGGCACGGACAGCAGCGAGGCGGCAGGGAGGGGGCTGACAGTGCTTCTGTGGGCTCGGCTGGGCCCAGCGCTGCCTCTTCTGCCACCAGCAGTGTGGCTGCTACGCAGGTGAGGAAGATGAGAGTGAGCAGGCCAAAGAGGCACTCCTCCTGGGTGCCCAGGTAGGGGGCCAGGGCACTGGTATCCCAGTCAATGGCAGGCAGGAGGTAGCCCAGGCAGCCCCCAAGACTGATCATGAAGGCATAGACGGAGTAGGCCTGGCGACAGTGGTCCGGGTCCCGGAATAGGTCAGAGAGCAGGGCCTCCAGTGGGGTGAAGCACACCTGGCCGCAGAAGTCCAGCAGCCCCACACCCAGGATAAGCAGTGCCAACTCCAGAGGCCTGGGATCCGGGCACAGCAGCCCTGCCAGCCAGCCGGCCCTCGGGATGACAAAGAGGCTCAGCAGGATGCCCAAGGACAGCGCCCAGATGAAGGGCCGCCGCCGGCCATAGCGTCCGCGCCAGTGGTCACTGGCTGAGCCTAGGAGCGGGACAGAGACCAGGCCCAGCACTGGACCAATGCCTGCAAGAAGGGGAAGCGGTATGAGTCAATGGCTGGGACTACTAAAGGGCAAGGGGAAGGAGAAACAAGCTCCGTGAGAAGCTGGGAAATGACATTCTGTACTAGACGCTGCATCTTCACAGGGTGCTGTGATTTACCCCTCCTAACATACCCGGGTATTACCGATGCCCCCATTTTCTTTCTTTCTTTCTTTCTTTCTTTTTCTTGAGGCAAAGTTTCACTCTTGTTGCCCAGGCTGGAGTGCAATGGTGCGATCTTGGCTCACTGCAACCTCCGCCTCCCGGGTTCAAGCGATTCTCCTGCCTCAGTCTCCTGAGTAGCTGGGACTACAGATGCCTGCCGCTACGCCTGGCTAATTTTGTATTTTTAGTAGAGACAGGGTTTCTCCATGTTGGTCAGGCTGGTCTTGAACTCCCAACCTCAGGCGATCCGCCCGCCTAGGCCTCCCAAAGTGCTGTGATTAGGCGTGAGCCACTGCACCTGGCCAGATGCCCCCATTTTCAGATGGACAGACTGGGGCGTAGAGCAACTAAGAAGTGATACCTATACAAAGGCACAGAACTAGGGAGGGTAAGAGACAGCGTTTCAACAGGCAGTGTGACTCCAGAGCCTGCAGTCCTCACAGGGACCCCTCTCCCTGGGGGTGAGGGGTTGTCACACAATGGTGGCTACTTGCCTTCTGTGGCTTTTGTAGAATTTATCTGCAGAGTCAGGAGCCCACCCCTTGTCCTAGGGGTAAGAGCAAGCCCTGGCTGGGAGACCTTGATGGAGTATCAGCTCTACTACTGAGCTGCTATTCAGCCTTGGCTAATGCTTACCTAACCTCTTAAAAGCCTCTGCTTCCCTCTCTGTAAAACGGACTACCTCAAATGGTGGCTGTAAGCATTACATGAGGTAATAGGTTATAAAAGGGCTAGCCAAAGGTGAGGAGCATTTCTGCAGTGTCTCCTATGAGCCAGCCACTGAGGACCAGGGAGCCACGGGCGACTGGGGTATGTCCTTGGTATTCTCTTCTTTCTCTTGGTGTGCCCCCTCAGCCCACAGTCATCCTCCTGCCCAGCACTGCCTACCCAGCAGACCACCTCTCCCTCCAAGCAGCTCCCGGGGGAGAGGCACTCCTGTCCTGCATCCGGAGCAGGAAGGAAGGAGGGCCGTAGTGACTCACCCAGCACCATGGTCATGAACTTCTCCTCCACGCCCACTTCCAGCAGCAGAGGTGGCACATAGGTGATGCCTGCGGCCAAACACACCTCCAGGCCAAAGGTTAGCAGGTTGACCAGCAGGAGCTGGGCTTTCCGGTGCCGCAGCAGGCGGCTCACCCCCAGCCTCTGGACCATGGTGGGCCAGGCGGGTAGGGCTCAGGGGGCCGTTCAAGCCCTCCAGAACTGCTTCGTCTCAGCTCTGCTCCAGAAGCCGCGGCCTCTTCTCCTTGCTGCCACCAACTGCCTAGGAGTCAGCCAGACGCCCATTTCCGCCAGCCCTTTGGTGCCGGTCCAGCTTCTCAGCCCATGCTGGACACCTGCTGCTGTGGGGCACCTCAGCGGGGACACATCTCATCACTCAGATCCTAGAAGGGCGGGGCAATCACAAGCACATCGGGTGTTGGTCCTGGGAGCCAGGTCTCCAGATTTGCTCTAAATTGTCTGGATCCTGATCATTCACAGGCTGGCGATTGGGCCTCCACCGAGGTGCCACCCCCTGCTGCCCAGCCAGGAAATGCATGTTAATATTAGCCTAAGGCTGACATAATTAATAAGGCAAATATGATTTTTTAGGCCTCAGCACACTCCAGAGCCAAACAGGTGTCGGTTATTCTGTTTTTGAAAAATCTACAATTGCCTCTGCCTGCTAGTATTGGAGGAGGGCAGAAATCAAACGAACTGAATTTTTAGTTGCAGGCCCAGCTATCAAGGTGCCCCTGGAGACCCCGTGCCAGGCCTGGATGTTTGCTTTTCTCTTTCTACTCCCCAAACCTGGGCTGTTCAACTCCCTCTTGTTAAGAGTAACACATCCTATTCCGCACCGCCTGGCCAGGAGCCAGACTGCACCACAACACCTACCCGCAACGACCGGAATGAAGGGAAAGGGGAGGAGAGGCTGTGTTGCGCTGGAGTTTTAGAGAAGGCTCCGTGGGATGAGCCCAGGCCTGAACATTTCTCCCTTGAGATTCTCCCTGAGTTCAACGTTCATGGGGAAGAAACAAGCCCACACATGGCTGTCCAGCTGTCATGGGAGAGTGGAGCCGTCCCCAGCTTCTAGCTCACAGGGGCATGAAACCATACCACCTGGCAACACCTGTAATGATACCAGTGACCTCCCCGAGCTGGCAGCATGCCCAGCCACTTCCAGGACAGCCTCTCTGAGCTCCTTAAATGGCAGAGAAAGGAATTTGTCTATGCTCCTTAAATTTTCAGCAGAGAAGCCTCACACCCTTTCCTACTAGCTCTGCCTCCTGTGCAGAGAGAACCGTCCTGTACCTGCCCTACCAAGCAAGTGGCCTCCAACTCTTGCTTCCTGACAGTACACACAGTGCAGTCTCCTCTGCTTAGAAGTGACTATGAACAGCTGGGATTGGTGGTGCATGCCTGTAATCCCAGCACTTTGAGAGGCGGAGGTGGGCAGATCACCTAAGGTCAGGAGTTCAAGACCAGCCTAGCCAACATGGTGAAACCTCATCTCTACTAAATATACAAAAATTAGCTGGGCATGGTGGCAGGCATCTAAAATCCCAGCTACTCGGGAGGTTGAGAGAGGAGAACTGTTTCAACCTGGGAAGCGGAGGTTGTAGTGAGCCAAGATTGTACCGCTACACTCCAGCCTTGTCAACAGAGCAAGACTCCATCTCAGAAAAAAAAGAAAAAAGAAGAAGTGACTACAATAGAGGGAACCAGGCCAGGCCTCAAGAGTAGGTACTACAGAGGGGGAGCCTTGGTGAGGAAAGGCAGGAGGCTCCTTATCGGTTATCCATCCCAAAACAGAGGAAGGGGACAGAGCTTCCTGGCACTCCTGGCTGGAGCACCTTCCTTCTCCTCCCCAGTTCAGTCCCATGAATGCTACTGAAGGGCAGCTGCTCCGGTGCAAGGACCACAGTGGCTGAGGGCCTGGCTCGTCTCCTCCACCAGAAACCACCCACAGCCCCCACTCATGCCCTCCTCCAATCTCAGCACCTCATAATAAAAGGCGCTTCAACTTCTCTTACATTTTCACATTATACTAAGCCCCATGGGGCCTTGCATGTTACAAAGCGTGTTGTGGTACTCTGAGCTGTGCCACAGAGAAATCAGACAGGGCCGGGTGTGGTGGCTCACGCCTGTAATCCCAGGACTTCGAGAGGTCAAGGCAGGCGGATCGCTTGAGCCCACGAGTTTGAGACCAGCCTGGGCAACACAGCAAAACCCCGTCTCTACAGAGAAATTAAAAATTAGCCAGGCATGGTAGTACGCACCTGTGGTCTCAACTACTCAAGAGGCTGAGGTGGGAGGATTGCTTGAGTCTGGGAGGTCGAGGCTGCAGTAAGCAGTGATCGTAACACTGTCCTCCAGGTCTGGGTGACAGAGGGGGACACTGTCTTAAAAAAAAAAAAATCAAACGGCTATCAGTCCTGGGTAAGGTCTGTTCACTCCATCACCACCTTCAGGGGCTTTGCAGCTGGCAGATCATGAAGGAAGGGAATTGAGATAAGGCTGGGCAACAGAAGCCTCCTCCCCTAAATCCTGCTCAGATTTCTGCTTTGGGATGGGGCACAGGGCCTCCTATGGAGGCGGCATGAGGAAGCCTGTAAAATACTGCCCCCCGCTATCTCCAAAAGGAAGGTGGAAGGCCAGTCGCTAGTCTTAGCTGAGCTGTTGTAGGTTCAACTTGAGCCCCTTGTTGCTGCATTTCCACGGTGCCCCCAAGAAGGAAAGCAGGAAACAGCACAGAGACCAAGAGGCAGTGCCGCCCAGCCTAAAGGGAAGGGTTCTGTGGCCAAGGGATTCCAGCCCCTTCCACTCCCCACTCTTGTTCTGGGAGGGCCCTGAATGCTAGCCTGCTCCGGGCTTTCAGGAAACCAGGTCCTCCCTGAGCAAACAGAGACTTCGTTAGACCCAGCCTCGCCCATAACCTGCAGCACCCATTCTCCAAGTCCCAGCTGCTCCCTATTTTTTAAAATAAATTTCAGGCCAGGCACAGTGGCTCACATTGGTAATCCCAGCACTTTGGGAGGCTGGAGTTATATAGCTTGAGGCCAGGAGCTTAAGAACAGCCTGGGCAACATAGCAAGACCTTCTTTCTACAAAAATAAAAATAAATAGGCCAGGTACAGTGGCTCATGCTTGTAATCCCAGCACTTTGAGAGGCTGAGGTGGGCAGATTACCTGAGGTCAGGAGGTTCGAGACCAGCCTGGCCAACATGGTGAAACCCTATCTCTACCAAAAATAACAAAAATTAGCTGGACCTGGTACTGTGTACCTGTAATCCCAGATACTCAGGAGGCTGAGGCAGGAGAACTGTTTGAATCTGGTAGGTGGAAGTTGCAGTGAGCCGACATCAGGCCACTCCACTCAGCCTGGGCGACAGCAAGATGCTATCTCAAAAAAATAAATAAAATAAAATAAAAAATAAAGGCCGGGCGCGGTGGCTCAAGCCTGTAATCCCAGCACTTTGGGAGGCCGAGGCGGGTGGATCACAAGGTCAAGAGATCGAGACCAACCTGGTCAACATGTTGAAACCCCGTCTCTACTAAAAATACAAAAAATTAGCTGGGCATGGTGGCGCGTGCCTATAATCCCAGCTACTCAGGAGGCTGAGGCAGGAGAATTGCCTGAACCCAGGAGGCGGAGGTTGCGGTGAGCCGAGATCGCGCCATTGCACTCCAGCCTGGGTAACAAGAGCAAAACTCCATCTCAAAAAAAAAAAAAATAAAATAAAAATAAAAGTAGCTGGGCATGGTGACATGCACCTATAATCCTAGCGCCTCAGGAGGCTGAGGTGGGAGGCTCTCCTGAGCCCAGGCATTCCAGGCTGCAAATGAGCTATGATCATGCAACTGTTTTCCAGCCTGGGGAACAGAGTGAGACCTGGTGTCTAAAAAATTAAAAAAACAAAAATAAACCGCAGCTCTCCAGCAACGATTAATCACCCCACCTGCCTTGCCCCTCCCTTAATCCAGTTCCCAGGCCCCCCAGGAATGAGCAGGATCCTTCTTAGCCCACATGGGAAAAAAGACACAAAGGGGTAAGGAGAAGAATACCCCCGATCCTCCTGCAGCCCAGGAAGCTCATCAGTAGGCTTCCCATTCCTGGGGTGCCTTTCTCCAATGCCTCCCAACCCTTACCTAGAGATTCTTTACCTGGTAACTAGGGCTTGGGCCAGGTGGGGAAAGGAGTTGACTAGGAAGGCAGCAGTTCCAAGTACCCCACTATTCTTTGGTTGCAGGGCCCGTCCTCCCTCTTTTGAGTTCTACTCTGCCCAGGGGGTCCAGAGTACTCTTGCTACCTCCAGACTTGACTCTGCCCAGCCCAGAATTGCCTGAGGAGTTCCAACCCCGTAAGCACACGCTGCCTCCAAAGCTCCCTTTTCTCATCCTTGCATCCATTCCCGTGCCCCGGCCCCTATTACTTCATCCCCACTCCAGGGCCTTCGGGCTAAGGACACCATAGAGGACTCTTGAGCTCCAAGTCCAGCTGCTCACCATGCCCTCCAGGGCCTTCTTCCCTGGAGCACAGAGGATCCCAGGCTCTCTCAGTTCTCAGGTTCAGGGAGGTCAGAGAACAAGAAGTCTTTCAGTACCCCTTTCCCGGCCACCACTCCCATCAGCAGCCCCAGGGCAAGTTTCTTGCCAAAGCATGCAAGTGACAGATCAGTGTTGGAACCCCGCCTCCTGCCCCAAGTCTGGGGAACTCCCAGGTCCTCCTGAGGACAGGGTCCAATTCTCCCCTACACCCTCCAGTCCTGGAGATGCTTCTGACGAAAATCCTCCTGCCCCACTACTCCTGGAACACTTTGCCTGGCAAAGACAAGATCAACCAGAAGAGCCAGCCTCACAGCATTCACCTGGCAAGGAGTGGGCAGGGAGAGGAGGGACGTGGAGGGGCTGACCTCTCGGAAAGGCAAGGAACAGGAGGCAGCCTTCTAGGACAAGTCCCTCTCAAGTTCCAACTATCTCCCCTCCTCTCTGTACCTAGCGATGGCAAGACAGCAGGAAAGCTGGAGAATACCCAAGGCCTCTGGGAACCTTTGTGGAGCTCTGCCCCAGGCCACCCTTCCTCATCCTTGGGGGAACAGAATCAAAACCCAGACAGGCCAAGGGCCCTGAGCAAGGTCAGTGAACCTGGATCCTCACTGCCCCTCTCCAGGCGCTGGGAGATACATGTCTCGATGCATCCCAATATGTGGCACCCCCAGGGCCCCAGCAAGAAAAGGAACAGGGAAATGTTTACCATAATGAATGAATGGCTGAAAGCAAGGGGAGGCAGTAGAAGCAAAGGTGAGGGCTTAGGTCCTCCTCCTCCCAGGTGGTCCCCACACACCAAGGACTTTCCAGGCCCAACTCCAGAGGGAGCAAATCCTACGGGCTCAAAGGTGGT